CATCTTGAGATGGGTTCCTTAACACCACCCTCTGCAATTTCACACTAAGCAAATGAAGCTTCAAATGAAGCAGGAGTGGGTCTCCAGTCTTCTCAGGAAAGCACCCCAAACGCTAGACTAGGAAATCACCGTCACGTCTTTCTTTGGCCACAGAACAGGACACAGCTTGTTAGATCACTCACGGATATCAGGGATGGGAGCTGTGGCACTGGAAGATGGATCTGTCCTTACCACACTGCGGAAAAAGTTGTAAGTATTTCTATGGGGGGATCTGTGACATGAGTGAAGGGAGGTTTCAAAGTACCTAGGAGGAAAGTCTGAGATACAGATTTCATTTTCTTTCTTTAGTATTACTGATGGTTTCAGGTAACTGTCTACATGGCAATAGAGCTGCTGTGGAGCTTTCTTTTGACACTGGACCTTCTCTGCTCATTTTACAGGGTGCCTATGGACCTAACCCAAAAATTGCTGAATCCTTCCCCCTCTTATTGTATAGCTGAGCTTTCTCTACACTCCTTAATTTCTCACCTTCTCCTGCTTTCCTCTTCTCATTACAATCAGTTTCCTTCAAGTACAAGTTTCACGCTTCCTCCTTCCATCTGCCTGAGCACTGCAACTCAGGAAGCAAGGATGGGGGAAGATGGACACAACGATTCCTTAAAATGAAGGTCACCAGAAACAGGGAATGGTGAAATAAGACATTTTCCCCTATTCAGACCTCTGCAAGCAGCTGAAATACTTTTTTTCTGAAAGGGTGCAAGCAGTTGGCTCTTGATGAATACAGTGATAAAAAAACTTCAATAATATTTCAAGTAAGACCAGAACCTCTCTTCCCTCAGGCTTCTTTATTTCATAAGCACTTCATTCTCTAAAACATCACCAGGAAATGACACTTCACCACCACATGTACGGAACTGAAATAAAACTACAGCACATGCAGGAACTGTTTTCAAATTCGCATCAAGGCAAGCAGAACAAGATCAAGGTACTAAAAGCAATGGCAAAGGCGTGGCTGAGGAGACAGTGAGCGTACTCTCTTGGTATCTGCTTTGATGAGAACCTAGTATGGCTTTAAAAACCTTGTGCAGCCTGCTGGAACCATCCCAGCTGCATCCAGGTCAGATAACATGTTTGAGCAAAGAGAATTAACTGTTTCTTCCTGGCTCCTTCTGCCATAAGTGAGAGTGCTCCTCTTCTTATCAGTTATAAGAAACAGTCCCATCAACTGATATAATCTTGCCATTTAGAAATTTGCCTGTGCTGCCGAAGCTACATTTGTCAGCTTTATCATACTGCTCGTTGCCATGAGGGGCCCTCAGCCCTCATGGTAATAAAGGTTTCCACACTTTCTGTGCAAGAAGAAATTTTAGGTGAGTTTAAAAAAGTACACCATAGTTTTGACTATAGCATGAATAATTGTGGCTGAGCTTAATTTCTTTGTCTAACTCCCTGTATATAAAACTTCACTGTCAGGAGTGTTCCTATTGTACTGTGGGAGTTTCAGCATCTATCAAAGAACTTTCATCAGACCTCTGTGGTAAAAATGATTGGCAACCCTGACATTGCAAAAGTACTCTTTGCTGGGGGGAGGCTTCACTTCTATCTAGGAGGAGGATTACTGTGAGAATTAACTTGTTTCTGGTCCCACTGTGGTACACTGGTGTCCCTCACACAGTATAGTCTCCCTTCTGCTTGCTCTGAGATTGAGCTTGTTCATAGATTGAGCCCATCTGTCACTCATGGTGTATGTCCTGAACAACCTTCTTAATACTCCACCTTCAGCAGAAGAGGTTGCTCAAATCAACCCCCAGATGCAGGCTCATCTGGCGCTTACCATCTGCAGCAACAGATCACCCCATAGCATGATCTTTTCTACCTGCTCTGGCTGCTCTAAAACATACCTAATGATGATGCTCACAGACGGACCAACTGCAAGGCAAAGGCATTAGAAGTCTGCATCAAACCCGTAACTTTCACCTTCATGACTAAGTCAGCATCAAGGCAATGTCAGACTTTGGTTCTTTCTGCAGTCTCTTCAGGGATATCTAACCAACATTACCTATACACATACAAAGTATATGACACATGCATCCTTTTAACCTTCTACTTGTCAGTGGCAATAAAAAAAGACAGAGGACGAGGGACTTGTTACGCTCAAACATCACAATATGAGTACTGATGTGCTGAAAGGAACCATATATAATAAGCATAATGTTAAGGTCCTCAGTCAATCAAATTAAAGATTTTCTATCTCAACTCATGCAATTACCAGGTGTCAGAAAATAATTTTACCTATTACCTAAAAGGTTTTTTTTTGCTTACTGTATTTTAAAGTATTCATCACTGAATAAATAATCAGAGCTTTCAGTCTGATAAAGATACAGATACAAAATGTTAGCACTTGGAACTCTCAAGAAAAGGGCAACCCCTTTCAATCTTAAATGCCAGCCTGACTCTCTCTTTCTTCCAGTGCTCTCCCAGGAAAAAACTCCCATGAATTTCAAAGGAAGTTTCAACAGATAAGGTCATGTGTTTTGACCCTTACCACTTTTGACATTAAAAATAATTGAATCTATTGTTGCAGCAAATAAGAGCCCAATAAAATACTTGTATTAGTATTTATTTTTTTTTATAATTACTGATGTTCTATGCAGGTGGAAAGCTTGGGTGCATGCCTGTAGGACACTAATGGGAATTTATTTTTTTCCAAGCATCACATTTATCAGTGCACTAGAAAAAAATAAGCCTGTATTACGAAGTTTCATGCTGTCTCTCATTATGCCATTTTATAAGCTTGTCCTTTGATTTATTATAAAGATTAAATATTTTTTATCAGTGAGATCAGAGGTATTAGATGAGAGGCCATGGAAATACCAGCAGAAAACTGGTAGTTTTCCATGTGTAAACTCTTTTGTATGTCACATCTTAGGTTCAGCCAATACTTCTGAATTGCCACATGGGTCTGATAGGATGCTGGTGGATTCATGTTCCCCAGCATTGGGCATGATGAAAACTTGGGGTCCCCACCTCTCATACAGTCCAGATGTAAATTTCTTCCCCTGCCTCCCGCAGGGTGCTCTTCAAATTTGACATCTTTGTCAACTTTGCTGCAGTTAGTAGCAGGGTCGCTGACGGGAATACCAATTCTGCAGAGCAGCGGTAGGATACTGATAGCTTACCAGAGATGATTTTTTTTCTTTAAATTTATTTATTTTTTAAAAGAAAGATTTTGGATTCAACTGAGATCAAATCTAGTACTGCAATCGACAATCTCCTGCAACCAGGAGACCCAGATTTTAAATTCATTTTTCAGGGACTATAGTCCCTCTTTCTAGGGGAAGAGATACATTGGAATGTGTGGTAAAGTTTCCTATACCTCTGGGAAGAGGAAACACAAGTTTTTACTCTGTTTTTAATCCCTATGTACTTTACAAGTGATATGGCAAATGGGTTCTTCTTGTAATGCCCAGAACAGATTATGTAGGTGTATTCAATCCATCTTAAAACTAATCAGTCAAACCACAGCCCCACCTCCCAGAGCTGGATAAACCATGCAAATAAATACTAGGCAGGGTTTGGCAACCCATGGCACCTTCTGAACTGCTGTGGTTGTCCTCCTAGTTGTATCCAACTAACCCAGCATGCTGGAAGGAGCTAGCTTCAAAGCAGTTGTCACCACAGCATCCACAGGTACCTGAGCTATATACAGTTTTCACGGAAATCCTGCTACACTTCATTGTGGTTATGTCTGATACAAAATATGAAAGATAAGCCTTTTGATTTGCAGAAACATCATTTTTGGTGACAATAGCTTCTCAGCTGTCAAGTAAAAAAATACGATTGTCACTCAGTGTAATATAGCCATCTATTCCAGTTCATTAGTCTTTGTCTGACACATCAGCGAGCAGCTTAAACAGCACACAGTAAAGAACACCTTCAAATATACACCCTGAAAATTCTTATTCTGCATTTAACCTTATGCAAGAATTTGCACTTAGCTAAATGAGACTTCTCCTGCAATTACAGGCCATTTTCAGGAGTACAGGCTTTAGGGTGCCAGAAGGTATAGTCAAGTCTCCTGCCTTAAAGCTTTCACTGTACAATAAAAAGGCCAGAGAGGAACTGGGCTGTAATTCAAGCTTCCTCTGGCACTTGAAGGAGCAAGATCTTCACTGCTTTCTTTCTAGTTGTAGTAAGAATAGTAAGAAATCAGAAGAAAATTCACGTCTTCTCAGAGACAATCCAGGATTATGACTTGCAAAACCACATGTAGTAATTATCAGTCATCATGGAAGAATAAAGACAAGAAATCTTCTAAATAGATCACAAAGCTTGAAAACAAACACATCAGGTACAAACTTCTACCACACGCATAAGTTCCTGCATATGGAATTCTTGCTCAGACCAAGTAACAATATAAAAATAAGCTTTTGCAATTTTTCATACTTGTTTTTCAATTAAAAGAGTCTTAAACCAGGAGCATTATAAAGCAATAGCATATGGAGGCGTGTGGCAGGAAGAGAGTTTTGTTTCTCTCAGAAAACAAATGACATACGTCATAATTTATGGTTATGCAAGTTACTTAGTAAAATGTCAACTCCTTTGTCATGCATTTTTCTTGCTCCTCTATTAGCAGTTACAAGGAATTTGAATGTGGCTAAATCCTCCAGAGTTGTTTTTTCATGCTACTATTCCACTTACCCAAGATTTCTTCTTACAAGATTTCTTCTGAGTTACCCTCTAGCTCTAGTAGCAGAACCTGAATATACAGCTTTGGTGAGCTGCTGCTTTAAATGCAGCGCACTCAAAATGTTGTTTTTGCCTTTTTTAAAAGAAAAAGCTGATAACAGAGTTAAAGATCTCTTAGAATCTGAGAAATCTCTCCAAGCCAAGTTTCAACAACCTTAAAAATGTATATGAATTGCGGCTGCATTACAAACTTTTAGTCTTGTTGAGCAAACAGTTACAGATTAACAAACCAACCCGATCGCAACTATTACCTGCTGAAGTGTGCTTAAATTTTTCACTCTTCTTCTTCCTCCATTTCCATGGCTTAAAAAGCCTCCCAAGAGTGGCAAATTTGCTTCTTCTTCTGATCGGAGGCGTGTGAGTCCCAGGTACTAGAGAATCTGAACGCATTGCAGCCAGTCTTTCCACTTCCTCAGCTGTAGTTTCAGCAAGAAAAGAAGAAAAAGAAAAGGGGGGGGGGGGAATGAAATAACTGCTTTAATAAATCACCAGAGAACCACACAGATGGTCAAAATTTTCCACAGCTACAGAGAACAGTAAAAAAGAGAAAAAAGTGTAGTCATTATTTTAGCATCGTTTTCTATGATGGGGCTACAGAACTGATGGATAAGGGCAAAGCAGTTGATGTTGTTTACCTGGGCTTGTGCAAAGCATCTGACACTGTCCATGACACTGGAGGGAAGGGATGTCATCCAGAGGGACCCTGACACGTTTGTGAGGTGGGCTGATGCCAACCTCATGAAGTTCAACCAAGCCAAGTGCAAGGTCCTACACCTGGGTCGGGGCAATCCCAGGCACAGCTACAGGTTGGGCAGAGAAGAGATTCAGAGCAGCCCTGCAGAGAAGGACTTGGGGGTGTTGGTCGATGAGAAAATGAATATGAGCCAGCTTCAGTGTGCACTTGCAGCCCAGCAAGCCAACGGTATCCTGGGCTGCATCAAAAGGAGCGTGACCTCTACTCTGCTCTCGTGAGACCTCAGTTGGAGTACTGTGTGCAGTTCTGGTGTCCTCAACATAAAAAGGACATGGAACTGTTGGAACAAGTCCAGAGGAGGGCCACGAGGATGATCAGGGGGCCAGGGGGCTGGAGCACCTCCTGTATGAAGACAGGCTGAGAAAGTTGGGGCTGTTCAGCCTGGAGAAGAGAAGGCTGCGTGGAGACCTCATAGCAGCCTTCTAGTATCTGAAGAGGACTACAAGGATACTGGAGAAGGACTCTTCATTAGAGACTGTAGTGATAGGACAACGGGTGATGGGTTTAAACTTTAGCAGCAGAAGTTCAGGTTAGATATAAGGAAGAAGTTCTTTGCTGTGAGGGTGGTGAGGCACCGGCACAGGTTGCTCAAAGCAGAGGTAAATGGTCCATCCCTGGCAGTGTTCAAGGCCAGGTTGGACAGAACCTTGGGCAGCATGGTCTAGAGTGAGGTGTAGAGGTTGGAACTGATGATCTTAAGGTCCTTTCCAAATCAAACCATTCTAAGATTTAATTTCAGTGGAATCCATAATCTGCTGTAAAGATCATTATTAGCAATCAGTTTTGACGGAAATATGGATTATTAGAACAGCAAAGTTACAATCCATAGTTAATTGTTCTGCATCACTCTAGACAGCTAACAATCCATGTGACAGCCATTCCTGGGGAAGTGGGATAGAGACTTGGGAAAAGAAAGCTCCAGAGTTAAAAAAAAAAAAAAAAGAAAAGAAAATAAAAGGAGCAGTATGGCTTACAAGAAATATTGCAAGTTTGGGCTTGTTTTTTGGTTTTGTTTTTTTTCCAATGGAAAGAGACATTTCCATGAATTAATGTCTATCAAGAGCAGGATTCTGATAAGTAATGACCTTCTGGTATTATTACTGCATCCATTAAAACTGCCTGGGTTACAAAAGGGGCTGCATTAATAACAGAAAGGGTGCTAAAAAATCATAGACTCATGGAATTGTTTAGGTTAGAAAAGACCTTTAACATCATGAAGTCCAACTGTTAACCTAGCACCGCTGAGTCCACCACTAAGCCATGTACCACATCTACACATCTTTAAAATACCTCCAGGGACAGTGAGTCCCACTTTCTGTCCACTCATTCCCCTCCAATTCTCCTTTTAAAACAGGGACTTCAAGAAATTTTAATGGAGTCCACACTAAAATCTGAATTTCCTCAGAACTGTTTTCACTAGACTGTGTTTAAAAATTTCAGCATTCTGTAACCTTCATCCTGTAATACATCATGACAGTCTATACAGCTAAAGAAAATCCAAACCCTGAAGAATTTAAATTACCCTTCCTCCCCAGTGACAGCAAGAGAAGTCTGGAGATGGTCACTTGGCACAGTTACATTGCATGGTCCCCCTTCACATTTGCTGGGACAATGTATGCTAATAGCTTTGAGAAATAGCATCCCTGTGATTAGAGGCACTGAGAGAGATAAGCCAAGACCACAAAGGAAAACACCAACAGAGGAAAGGTACCAGCAGCCCTGGAGAAAAGTTCTCTCCATGCCATAAATGCCAGGACTGCAATAAGCTCTCCCAGCCCCAGGCTGATGCATGCCCACTCTTTCTCCACAAAAAACATCTGCAATAATTAAGTCATCATACAGGAGGAGGTTTGGTTGGGGGTTTTCTAAAATTGTTGGTGTTTTGCTTTGTTTTGTGTTTTAGGGATACCATTTGCCAGGCTGGTGTTGTAATGCGACACTGCCAGTAAAACCGATTTGCGTGGTTTGCACACACAGAGTCTGGATTCTTAAAGACAGGATGCAGCTCATCATCCCTCCCGCTCTGAAGAGAGCAGCCCAGTTTCTATCACCTCTAGCATATTAAATATTAATCTCAGCCATAAAAGCATGGGCTCCGGAACCTAAGCAAGAACATCATTCTGAAGGGATGAGCATACCCACTCCACACACAATCACCAGAGATTTTGGCTAGCAAATTCTTATGCGTCTCAATGGAAATTTTTCTGAGGCTTTGAGCATGCCAAATTTAGGACGGTTTTCATGGGAACAGCCAGAGACACATTTCTAACACAAAGGAGGCTTCATTACCAGAATTTCAAACTGAAATCCTATTTGAGACCCTCAGGTTTTTGCAAGAAGGTTGGTTATTTTGTTATTGCTCTTTCATTTGCTTTGAACATTGGCAACACAGTCCTTTTTTCCTGTAAAATATCACTGCCAGATACAGCTGCCTGTAATATTCTAGAGTTAAAAAAAAAAAAAAAAAAGCTACCCAGCAAGATACAGAGAGCCCAAGTGTTTCAGTGGAAATAGTTAAAAACAACTATTCTTTGGGGTAATGGAGAGAAAGACAGGCATTTCTGAGAACATCTTCTTTCCATTTAAAGCAGAGGGGAAAAAAAGGCAATCCGGCCAAAGCACTTCATTCTGTTCCAGCTCTTTGTGCCCAATTGCTAGAGAAATACCTTCCTATCCAGAGAACCCATTACAAGGCTCTGTCCTGTGCAGGGGCTGGGACATGCTGCATCAAGGCTGGAAATTGCCTCATTATGCTGAAGAAACCATGAGGGTAAAAAGAGGAGGAAATCAGAAATTTCCTCATACTTTCTGATTTCACTAGAACATGCCGGGCTTTGAAGACCAGCACAGGGTACTGACTACCTCCCTCTACAGGCAGACCCCCTCTGTTTTTATGATGCTTCTAGTTAAAGCATCGTAAGATCACACTGTGTTCCACTGCTATGATTTTTTTGAGATGCTGCTAAAAGTAATGGGCTTGTATTGTCTTTGTTTCCTTACTTGGAGGATGCAGAGTATAGAATTGGCATTGGGAATGACATGCTACTGCTGCTGAATTGGGCATTGTTTAAGCCCACAGCTTAAACAATGTAATTCCTATTGCTGTTCACCCTCTCTACTTTTCCCCATCATTGAGCCACCATTTCTGCTACCCAGGTGCCTTAGTTAGTAAATCTCAGAGCTGCAACAACTCTTCTTTGAGAGCTGGTCCTAACTGGTACTGGTGAGGCCATTCCCTAGAAAACTGACATCTTTTAAAGACTCTCTCCTTTCATATCATACAACCCCTCTGTCCCAAACCAGCTGTGCTCTCACTGCCCCTGGGAAGCTTTACCCATTCAGGGTAAATGAGTATGGATTCACAGTCAGGCAAAACCAACAGTGGAGTCAAAAGGAATTTACCCAAAGGGTGGGTTTGTTAAAAGCCAAGCACAGTGTCAAAACCATTACCATGTTTTGACTGCTTTTCCCTGAATTTCAGTATCATCTCTCACACAGATGTGCCCCAGGAGTGCTGCTGTGCTCTCCATCAGCCACGAACATGGCTCTTCTCCTTCACCCCCTCCAAACACACACAGCTCCAAGCTAATGCAAGTAACAGCACTTTTTCCCTTTCGCTCCTATTTCTCAGGACTACCTCATTTTTTTTCATGAAAAATACTCTTAAGAGCACTGCTAATTCAAAGCATAATAATCCCTGGCTAGGAATGAACCACATTAGCATAAAGCCATGACAGTTTCAATACAGCAAGAATAAAAGCAGACCATGATGCAAGAAGTAAGAGTCAGATTTCTGCACTCTTTTATGCTGCTGCATCTTTTGCTCGAGTTGGCTGGGTTTCTCTGCCTTTTTGGCTCCTAACGACTATTGACTGGCTGTGGGCTGTGACACCCACTGCTAACAGCAGGCTCCGTAGGCTGATTTCACACCCTTGCTGTTCCCAAAAAAAGGTGGTACTTGCACAAATGGAAACCAACCAGGCCTTGCACTTGGTGTTTTTTGTGCCGTCAAAGAGGAAAGCAGTCACAGCAGTCCCAGTTTCATCAGTCTGCTCAACTGGGAGAGGGAACTGCCATGTGCATTGGTGCCTCTAGTCATTCTGTTGCGGGCTCATGTTGAGGTCAGTGCCACAAACATGATGTTTATGGGTCACAATGACTGTTGATACTCTGTGCTTTTGGGAGCTTGTTCTGACTTTTTTCCCCAGTATCTGAGAGATCTTGCCAGGACACAGAGAGATACTGGGACCTGCAATTATGGCAAGCGGACAATACACTTCACCTCACACTTTCTCCTGTCCAAAACATCATCCCAGAATAACAAGCGGAAAATGACCTGAGAGCTTTACACAGGCAGTTTGACTGTGACGCAGCTCTCAAAATTTTACTGTAGTCCTCAAGACACTTGATGTTCATATAGACTGAACATTAAGCAAGACTTGTGGTTTTAATGAGAAAAAGCACAACAAATAAAAATATTTTGCATCCCAGTAATGTAAAAGAAATTTTATAATCATGATTATAATATACTACAAAGTTTTACAACAATAGAAGGTCTAAAAGCTAACTTCTTCTCTTACCCCCATCCTTTTTTTTTGGTTCTGAAGCTAACCCTAGGTTTGAGGATTATTTGACCTCAATCATTTTGAGGTTTGTGAGCTG